AGGCGAGGAGGAACGGGGGGGGGTGGGGGGGGGGGGGCGCTAGCAGGAGCTGGTGTATATACAGGAAGCTGCTTTCAAGCTGACCCCCTGGCTGTGTCTAGACTGGCAAATTTTTCCGCAAAAACTATCTACATTGGCCACTTGAATTTCTGCAAGAACACGGACGATCTCATGTAAGATTGTCAGTGTTCTAGTGCAAATACTATGCTCCTTCCCCCCGCATGTACACATGTAACTGCTAAAATTTCTAGCAGTTACACATTTACACAAATAAATAATAGTTAACGTCACTAACTTGTAACAATTTATTTCATAGTATTACACTTAGCTGACTTTTTTTTAAATTGGCTCAGTCACTGACTTTGATTTGTCTGGTTTCACTAACAATTGCTTAAATCCTACTTTTTTATGCTTCATAAAATCACTTTTAAATATTCTTAAAACCTGGAATAAATAGCTGTTACCAGGGGAGGGCGGAGAGGGGAAAGAATGGGACAGCAGCTGTGCATCTCTCTCTTTCACTGATAAAAGAAGCAAGCAATAAAGACACCTACCAGCAGTTCCTGGCTTTTATTTTCCTCACTCAATTTAAGTAACAGAATCTCTTCTCTCTCCTTCAAACTCTCCAAATGCTTTTGGACTTTAACCTAAGAAAAAGAAAAACTGGTGAGTTTTGTTTTGATTTTTATTTACATTTTCCAGAATGTTAAGTACATACTAAAATGGGTGAGGGCGCTAACCACTCAGCTACAGAGTAATTCTCATGCTTGTGGTCTCTCTCTGGCCCAAAAGACAAAGTATCTAACCCCAGTGGAACTGCTTCAACAGGGAGCCCTATATCAGAATACCCCAGAGAGGTTGCAGATATTCTTTCACACCCCTTTATTCATCAGGTGGCGGGGTCTTTAACCAGTGGTCTCCCGTATCCCAAAGGAGTACAGTAAGCACTGGGTTAAAGTTTAAAAGAGCTCCCTGTGTCCTCACCTGGGGCGCCTGACCAGGCCCATCACATTGGGTCCCATACCTGAGTTCAGTGGCTGAACACTGACTTTCCCCACTACCCCTCTGAAGCTTTTCCTTCTGATGCGAATCCTTCTGGAGCTCAGGTCGGAGACAGGCAGAAAGACAGGTGCTCAGGGAACTAAAGGCTACAAAAATGGGGGGGGGGGGGGGGGGGGGGTTTGGCACACGGGAGCAAAGTGGAATTTAGACATCCAGGCCACACTGACAAACTCAGCTAAGGGGCGAGGCTTGACTGAGGCTTCACTTCCTCAGGTTACATAAGCAACATGCTCACTAGGAATGTTAACAAGCGTGTAAGGGTCAGCACCACAAGTGTAACTGCCACCAGGCGGATTTGAACCCAGGACCTCAGTATACGAGCCTCTATAGCTTGAGCTATAAAGCCAGCTGGCGCTCAGCCTGGTTCCTAGAGATCTCTTGATTGTATCTGCTGCTGGGGTCCAGCAGCCACTGTATGGGACGGTGACACACACTAGGTTGGTGGGTTACACAAGCACTCAAGTGCCAGCTCATGCTGAGTCCCAGGAGCTGCCCCTGCTGTGATTCTGCAGCAAAAATCATTTAGGAGCCAGTAGGCAGGCAGCCCAGCTCCTAAATGACTTTCCCTGTAGAGCTACAGCAGGAGTAGTTCCCAGGACCCGGCCTGAGCCGAGACTGAGCCAGGCTGCCTGCCAACTCCTAAAATACTCTTAGTGCAGAGCCACAGTGGGAGTAGTTGCCAGACCCAGCACAAGCCAGGACTGATCCAGGCTGCTGGCCAGCCCGCTAAAAAATTAACTGGGGTGGGGTGGGGAAGGATTGCACGTAGTCAGTAGCATTAACTGATACGCTTTCATTTATTGGATAATTTAACATTTTCATGCAGGGTGTATTTTGGTGTCACCCATGTAGGATCAATTTTCAATTCATCTTTATCCCCAGCCTCCAGAGTTGCTGGACCCTTGCAGCCAATAGCAATCAATTGACAGGGGGTTACATTTTCAAGGCTGCCTGACAGCAAGGGCTTTCACGTGGCTTGGGTTTTCTGATAGAAATGGGGTGTTGCTTGGCAGGAGGGGAGGGACGAGTAAAGAATGAACTTAATTCGCTCCCCAGTTGCCAAAGCCTGGGTGTACTCCTCCCCTGAAGAATAGGACCCTGGATCTTCAGTTGACAAATATGGCTACCCCACCCCTGCACATTTCAGGGAATCTGTTGCCAGAGCTAGCTCCCCAACCTTTTCCATTCTGTATGAGAAGCAATCCAGGTGCCCCCTTTCCCCAGCAATGATGAAGAAAAAAACTCTGAAGTGAAACTTATCATGGATTTTCCTCCTCTCCAACTCTCTGCCCCCCACCCTTGGGGATTTTCCTTACACGGGGATGACCCTGCCCTTAGGGTACAGCAATCAGAAAGCGCTTTAAGTATACTGGTACAATTCAAGCGTATGTCACTGCCAGTGTGGCTGGAGTTATACCTGTATAAGTGAACAGCTTATTTCTATATGGAAAGGAAACAAACATTTCCTGGTATACACCATCTTTCTCTCTCTGTACAACTTATAGTCACTAGGGATATTAGAAATGGTTTAATTTAGTAATCATGTAACCCCCAACAATTCTCAGGGTTACACAATTATTCAGTGGTCCCCAGGGGCAGGGGCAGCAGCCATTGTGCTCCTGGCTCCACCCTGCTGCCTCTGTATCCCCTGTGAGCTCTTTGTTTAAAACTCAGACCAGTGGGCTAGGAATGAACCAGCCTGCCAGGGTGAGTTTTAAACGCAGAGCGCACAGAGGCTGGAGGGATTGTCATGGTTATCTGGGACTGTTACCCAAAAACGAATAGCTTATCAGTTACATGGTTATCCAGCCAGCAGCTAACATCCCTAATAGTCACACTAGGAGTTTTACTGGTATAACTATTTTACTTAACACACACACACACCCTCACTAACACAGATCAGCATAAAAAGTATATAAAGACGTCTCAAACACACGACTTCTTCCTGTAGAAAAGGCATTTTCTGCTTTAGGAAACTAATTTCATTAGTATCAGAGGGGCAGTCATGTTAGTCTGAACAGGTTAGAACGAGAAGTCCTGTGGCACCTTATAGACTAACAGACTTATTGGAACATAAGCTTAAGTGGGTCTTTGCCCACGAAAGCTTATGCTCCAATATACCTGTTAGTCTATAAGGTGCCACACGACTTCTCGTTCTTGTAGTTTCATTTTTCATGTGACTTAGAAAGAGCTAATTACTCAGGATTACCTTGTACTCCAGAGCCGCCTCATCAATGGGCACCACGGTGTGTTCTTTGTGACTGTGGGACTCTCTGCAGACCAGGCAGATGGGGGCTTGATCCACTTCACAGAAGAGTTTCAAAAACTCCTCATGTTCTTTGCATGCGCTGCTCCCACTCGGGTCTGGGAGCCTTCTGGTTAGTTCGACCACATTTCTCAGCTGCCTGTTGGGCTGGAATTCGCCTTTCCCGAAGGCCTTTCCGCATTGCGGGCAGGCATAGGAGGCAGCGCTTCGGGAGGCCTCACAGTACTGGGTGATGCAGGCTCGGCAGAAGTTGTGCCCGCACTTGAGAATCACTGGATCCTGGAAATATTCCCGGCACAGGGAGCAGAGAACCGCCTCCTGGAGACCTTTCACCCGGTGGGAGGATATGGCCATGGCACCTGCGGGGGAAGCGGAACCTAATTAAGAACATAGTGGTGGGAAGCAGAGTGACCTGGCCGCAGCTCACCCTCCAAGTGACGCGGGGCCTGGTCACCTCACTTCATGAGAACATAGGAACAGCTAGACTGGGTCAGACCAAAGGCCCATCCAGCACAGCATCCTGCCTGCCAGCAGGGGCCAGTGCCAGGTACCCAGAGGGAGTGAACAGAACAGGGAATCATCAAATGAACCATCCCATTGCCTGTTCCCAGCTTCTGGCAAACAGAGGCTAGGACACCATTCCTCCCCAGCCTGGCTGGCAGCTCTTATCCAGCTCTTTTTTGAACCCTGTTAAAGCCCTCAAGGGATCCAGACAAGTCCAGGAGATTTGGGAACCATGCCACCTTCCAGGAGTGGCAGGGGAGGAAAGGATAAGGACTGAGGGATGAGGCCAGGATGGGCACTTGGTAAATCCCTGGACTGTCCTTGCCCATTTTAAAAGCCAAACTCAGCTGCTGGTCGGCTGGGATCGAGATAAATGTCAAGTAATTTGGTAAAAGCCAGGGGAAACATGGACTGGCATTTGTAAAGCAACAGGAAGCTCTAAAGAACAGGAATAAAAGTAAAAGCTAGAATTTTGCAATTACTGTAAGATGGTTTAAACAGCATTCCGCTATACTAGCTACCCAAGTACATGACAATTTGAATTTACCCAAGAAAAGGAACCAGGTGGTGTGGGGGCTAGTTAAGGAGCCCACCCTTCTTGCTAAATTAGTAAGGGACAAAACCTGTATCCCTGGAAAGGGGCCATTCAGCAGAGAAAGCAGGATCAGGCCCAGACAGACAAGAAAGCAAACAAGCAATATGAAAGACAGGCTGAATGGATCCAGAGTGGGCAGAGCCACTATCCATAATGTACACCATGGAAGCTGTTGTGTTAATTTTACTTCCCCAAGTGCCTGTAGGTTATCAGGCTGCACGTATGCCTGTTTATCAGCATGTCCCTGTCCCCATTATTGAAATGGGTGGTATTTGGGCACCCAAGTGAGAGCCAAGTGGCTTCTACCATCGGGTGGCTTATTAGATCACCACGGTGGCCAACAGCGGGGAAAACATGAGGGCTGTGTCTACACTGGGCCGCTTTTCCGGAATAAGCTGCGAGCTGTCTACACTGGCCCCTTGAATTTCCAGAAAAGCAGTGACGATTTACTGTAAGAAATCAGCTGCTTTTCCGGAAAAACTATGCTGCTCCTGCTCGGGCAAAAGTCCTTTTTCCGGAAAACTGTTCCGGAAAAGGGCCAGTGTAGACAGCACAATAGTCTTTTCCGCAAAAAAGCCCCGATCGTGAAAATGATGATCAGGGCTTTTTTGCGGAAAAGCACGTCTACATTGGCATGGACACTTTTCCGAAAAAAGTGCTTTTCCGGAAAAGCATCTTGCCAATGTAGATGCGCTTTTTCCGGAAATACTTATAATGGAAAACTGTTCCGTTTTAAGCATTTCCGGAAAAGGGTGCCAGTGTAGACGTAGCCTGAGAGTGTAGGTGCAATTTATTGTGCCAGGAGGCGCTATCTGTTTTGACTCACAGGCCTGATTTTCACCTTATAACGGAAAACTGTTCCGTTTTAAGCATTTCCAGAAAATGGTGCCAGTGTAGACACAACCGAGTGGTATCGTAAAGTGGGCAACTACTCTTGGCCTATGCTGTTGTTGTTAATAGCAACTGCTTAGGGCCAATTGCAGCAGGCCTTTATCACATATGGCACAGCCTTGCTCAAGGAAAGACAGGCATCTGTTGTCATTATACACCATTAGAAATAGTTGCTTAAGCCGCCAGTGAATATAGTGTAGGTAGCAGAGCGACATGGGTATGATATATTTGCAGGATATTTACCCACAGCTAGTACACTTTTAAGTGTTTTAACCCACCCTTCAGTATTATCATGTACACTTATAGCAGTGTTGATGCTTTTATAGCTGGCTCTGGGTGTTTATATACCGCAAGTGGTTTCTTGTGTGGCTCATATTAAAGAGCAGTTAAATTGGTACATTCCTGACCAAATGTTTTATCACTGCAGACTTGACTTGGTCGAAAGGGGGAGTGTGGGGGAGCCTGGACTACCCTGCCTTGGCAATAAATGATGATGTCTGCCTTGTCTTTATTGCTGCAGACTTGACTGTACAGGCAGTCCCCGACTTACGCAGATCCGACTTACATCGAATCTGCACTTATGAACGGGGCTTTCTCGCCCCAGAGCTCGAAGGCAGCAGTCCCGCCACCTCGACCTCCAGGGCGAGAAAAGCTGCTCCCGGTGCCCCTGGTCTGCTGGAGACGGTCCCCAGCAGACCAGAGGCACTGGGAGCAAATCCGCAGCCATGGCGGGTTCCTGCGCTTCTGAGGCTTTGCCAGAGCTCTGGCAAAGCCTCAGAAGCGCAGGAACCCGCCATGGCTGCGGATTTGCTCCCAGTGCCTCTGGTCTGCTGGGGACCGTCTCCAGCAGACCAGGGGCACCACGAGCAAAGCCGCAGCAGCGGCGGGTTCCCGCACTTCTGAGGCTTTGCCAGAGCTCTGGCAAAGCCTCAGAAGCGCAGGAACCCGCCATGGCTGCGGATTTGCTCCCAGTGCCTCTGGTCTGCTGGGGACCGTCTCCAGCAGACCAGGGGCACCACGAGCAAAGCCGCAGCAGCGGCGGGTTCCCGCACTTCTGAGGCTTTGCCAGAGCTCTGGCAAAGCCTCAGAAGCGCAGGAACCCGCCATGGCTGCGGATTTGCTCCCAGTGCCTCTGGTCTGCTGGGGACCGTCTCCAGCAGACCAGGGGCACCACGAGCAAAGCCGCAGCAGCGGCGGGTTCCCGCACTTCTGAGGCTTTGCCAGAGCTCTGGCAAAGCCTCAGAAGCGCAGGAACCCGCCATGGCTGCGGATTTGCTCCCAGTGCCTCTGGTCTGCTGGGGACCGTCTCCAGCAGACCAGGGGCACCGGGAGCAGCTTTTCTCGCCCTGGAGGTCGAGGTGGCGGGACTGCTGCCTTCGAGCTCTGGGGCGAGAAAGCCCCGTTCATAAGTGCAGATTCGATGTAAGTCGGATCTGCGTAAGTCGGGGACTGCCTGTACAGTAATTGTTTTTAAGGCCTGTAAAATTTAAACAACTATATTAACTGCTTAAAGCTTGTAATAAATAAGAAAGTAGTTAAGTCTCTCTGGAGTGTCCTGATTTTCCTTAGATCTAAAATAAATCGAACCACAAAAGTCTAAGCATACCACAGCCACTGCTTCTCCCTTATCCACAAGGCTTGTTACCCTATCAAAGAAAGCTATCAGATTGGTTTGGCATGATTTGTTCTTTACAAATCCATGCTGGTTGTTACCTAGCACCATATGATCTTCCAGGTGTTTGAAGATGGATTCCTTAATTACTTGCTCCATTATCTTCCCTGGCACAGAAGTTAAACTGACTGGTCTGTAGTTTCCCGGATTGTTCATATTTCCCTTTTATAGATGGGCACTAGATTTGGCCTTTTCCAGTCTTCTGGAATCTCTCCCGTCTTCCATGATTTTTCAAAGATGACAGCTAAAGGCTCAGATTCCTCCTCTATCAGCTCCTTGAGTATTCGAGGATGCATTTCATCAGGTCCTGGTGACTTGCAGACATCCAACTCTTCTAAGTAATTTTTAATTTGCTCTTTTTTTATTTTATCTTCTAAACCTACCCCCTTCCCACTAGCATTCACTATATTAGGCATCCCGTCGCCATCCATCTTCTTGATGAAAACCGAAACAAAGACGTAGTTAAGCACCTCTGCCATTTCCAGTTATTGTTTCTCCCTCCTCACTGGGCAATAGGACTACCCTGTCCTTGGCCTTCCTCTTGCTCCTAAGATACTTGTAGAAAATCTTGTTACCCTTTATGCCTCTAGCTACATTGAGCTTGTTTTGTGCCTTTGCCTTTCTAATCTTGCCTCTGCATACCTGTATTGTTCCCAAACTTGGAAATCTACACTGCCATTAAACACTCCTACACCAGCTAACACAGACTAGCCATGGGTGTTTAATTGCTGGGTAGCCAAACCCTCCAAAACCAACACCCAACTGACAGACAGACCAGTAATCAGAACACCTGCTCACTGACTGGCATCCACACAACTTTAAAGCTGCCCCCTTCCCACCAGCGCTCAGTCCAACTGGCTCAGCCTTCCTAACCGACGGGGTGTCTCATTAGCTCCAGCTCAGGAGGACAAAAGGTAGAGACTCTCTAAAGCCGGGGTGGGGAGCCTACTGGCCCACTGATAAATTTCATCTGGCCCAGGCAATACCCCAAGCACCAACTCACTCCACTGCCAGCCTTGCACTCTGGGTCCCAGAGGTAAAGAGAGGGGCTACG